CAGCGCGGCAGGACCAACAGCCATGGCGAGCTGACAGCGCGGCAGGACCAACAGCCATGGCGAGCTGACAGCGCGGCAGGACCAACAGCCATGGCGAGCTGACAGCGCGGCAGGACCAACAGCCATGGTGAGCTGACAGCGCGGAAGGACCAGCAGCCGTGACAAGCTGACAGCGCGAGAGGACCAGCAACCTACTGATGGCGCCAAAAATGGATTGACTTATTTATTTTACGGCCAATTCTTTTACGCGCTACAATTCCGTGCGCGGGATTGCAATGGATCACACCTCTCCAACATTTGGGAAAACTTGGAAAGAAGCGAGTTGAAACGTACCTCCCTTCTCCAGTGTGCTTGACACGTTTTCCGCTACCGTCACCATGCAGATGAACCGTGTTAAATTTCCACGAGAAACGGCCGAGCCATCGCCTTCCCCACCCACTGCTTCTGTTCACTGGGACCATTTAGTTTCCAGCTCGGTTTTGTTTTTCTGTTCGCTTTTCTTACGCATATCAACAACACTGTCGGCGTGTGTTGTGGACTCATGCAGCCCAGGCGTCGGCCTCTGGCCTACCGACAGCATGATGACGGCCGGCTGGTCCGCTGGCAGCGGTGGCGGACCTGTGGTCCGTTGGTGACAACGGTAGTCATCTGGCATGTTGGCTCCATGGCCGCGGAGCTGCGTTCTTTAACAGCATGAGAGCACTAATCCTCCAGTCCTTTGACACCGTGACAACTCACATTACTCCTCTGACAGCAGAGTGTGGTCCTCGGACACCATGGCGGCAGCATTCCTTTGACACCTTGACGCAAACTCCGGTCCTCTGGGGAAAGACAGCAGCCATCTTCTGACGTTCTGTCCGCGGAGCTCCGGTGCCCCGACTTCGTGGCGACAGCAGTCCTCCGTCCCTGACGGCGTGGCGACAGCAGTTCTCTGCCGCTGACGGCGTGACGGCAGCAGTCCTCCGCCGCTGACGACGTGACGGCAGCAGTCCTCTACCGCTGACGGCGTGACGGCAGTCCTCCGCCGCTGACGGCGTGACGGCAGCAGTCCTCCGCCGCTGACGGCGTGACGGCAGCAGTCCTCCGTCCCTGACGGCGTGACGGCAGCAGTCCTCCGTCCCTGACGGCGTGACGGCAGCAGTCCTCCGCCGCTGACGGCGTGACAACAGCAGTCCTCTGCCGCTGACGGCGTGACGGCAGTCCTCCGCCGCTGACGGCGTGACGGCAGGCCGTCGCCGCTCTCACAAATCCGGTTACACTAATCCGCCGTGTCCACACGACGCGCCGTAAGCGGATTGGAGCGGCGTTTTTCGTGCGCGGCGCGTGCGGGCCGGCCAGCCGTGCAGGCACGCGGCGAGGAGCATGACACGGGCCGCCCGGCCAGCCCCGCCGGCCAGAGCGTGACCTCATCCGGGCCAGACCGGCTCCCCACGGCTCTCTGTCCTCTGCCGCCCGGTTCGCGTGGGCCATCTTGGGAGTCCTGCTGCCGTGAGACACTTGTTAGTGCCGCCCCTGCCTCCGAACCTGGAGGTGCACCAGTCATGGGAGGAGAGGAGGGTGGTGTTCTCTCATATCTGTTGCTAGAATGAGGTTATGTCTGCTAAGAGGAGCCTTTCACGTGGACGGTGCGTTATAAATATTTAAAGAGTGGTGTCCTCTGGTGCTTGCGATGTCGTACTGCGAGATTATCACATTTGCATGATGCATGCGCGGCTATGTTTCCTGGGAGAGACTAACGTCATGGGAGCATTTTTAGCTCCTCCCACGCAGCAATTATTGAGTATTATGCTATTTAGAGCCACAACGATGACAGGGAATTGCTACAGCTGTCTGTTACGGTTTGTCCAAATGCGGCTGCAGTGACGCTGCGCAATTTCTCCACCACAGCGGCAGGCTCCGGCTCCGGCTCCGGCTCCGGCTCCGGCTCCGGCTCCGGCTCCAAGTCAAGCGATATGTGACATTATCGGTCGTTTGGTTCAAACGGGAGAAGATGCTGCTCTGTTCTTTACCCGGAATTGTGAACGGAAGAGGACACGAGAAGAGCAAGAGGCGTGAAGCAGCCGACACAACGCGGCCATGTGCCACTGCCCGCATTACATTCATGGGAAATTTCAGACGCGCAGGTCGTTACGTAGTCATGCAATGTCAGCCTTGCGCGTTTGCAAGGTAGTCTATTCATTATCCCTGCCAAATGCATGGGCTGGTGCGCAGGCTAAAAATATTACCACTCGGAAATGTTTACTCTTGTTGCGCGTAACGGTGGGCGGAGTTAAATCACGTGACTAAGGTACTTAAAGCTACGTTGTCGCGCAATCCAGGTTAAGGCCTAAGTAATAGAGGAAATTTTTTATCAGGAGTGACTCGAAAAATAGTAGCTTAGACGCTATGGATGCAGTTATCTGCAAGTTTACTCCGAAATGCAATTTTTTTAGTCTCCGCTGTCTCTTCTGGGGACGGAAACAACAGCGCTCCCGATAACCGTGCAGGTGTTGATTGGCAACAGGATCGACATTTTCTACGTCAGTGGGAAGGTGTAACAATCCATTGAACATATAGCGCAGGAGTTCGTCGCAATATAACACAGCAAAGAAACCGGGTACTCAAGTGGTATAGATGAATGATTACCGTTTAGTTGCGCTGTGGCATCATTTTGTTCGTCCCGCTCAGCGCGAGGTATTTGGTGTCATTTGTCCTATCACAAGTCCATCACAAGCCATACGTCCTAGGCCATTTCTCTGTCTTGAAAACCATGCGTAGATAAGATTACCTGTCCGCAAATGTTATGCACCGGCTTAGTTAAATGCAGCGGAATGCATTCACATTGTCTTAAACGTGACAACTTCTGAAAAGGCATGCCATCCACGATACCTCCTTCTTCGAACTGGCGCTCAATGGACGTTTCCGGTGATGCTACCAAGAGAAGGGGGGACAGGGACGGCTCCCCTTAGACCCGCCATTTAATTTCAGCGCTGCAGATGTTTTGTGTGTGGAAGTGTTCGGTTTCCGTTTCCGGTCAATGAATCCCGTCCGTGTCCATTAGAATGCATGCTGTTTAATAATGTTGATTCTCACCCCTTAAAGAAATATTGAGGCACCTTTGTCAGTCTGGTAGCAATGTGTTCGGTGTTTAGGTCACATGCTTATGTTTATAAATCATATGAAGTTTCAGGATTCCTTGCATATGTCAGAAAATGTCTGATAAATTACCGATATGATTAAGCCTTGATTAAGAATTGATGAATCTTCTTCACTTCTGAAATGACCGGAGCATAACTTTATACGACTTATCAGAGGAAAGACTGAATCGTCCCGTATATTGATCTTTGGAAGCATTTCCCTTTTTAGCGGTCCGTGCAAAGTCTGAAAGCGCGAAATCACGTGGAAAGCGTCAGGGCATTCCCGAATGTACACCAATCTCCACCCATGTTAAGTAATGGGACATTTCAATAAACCCCACAAGGCACAAGTTTGGATGATGAGGCCATGCAGCGTTATAGCGGTGCTAGAAGTCCGGGTCGCGTTCGGTTACAGGGGTCCGAGCCCATGCCCTCAACCCGCGGCGCGACCCTTCCAGCTTCACAGAGGTTTCATAGCCTTTGGCACCATGTTAAGGAAAAATCCAAGCGGTGCAAGCGAAGGTATCTAAGCGAGGAGACAGTTTGTCAGTTTTTCCTAGAATGGCAAGGGGATCAAAATCTGAATAGATGGTGTCATTTCGAGCATCCGAGAATGATCGACCAAGGGTAGATTCCCGATCTGGATTTCCGAAAGTTTATCCGGGCGTAAAGCACGCGCAATGCTAGTGCGAAAGTTGGAGAAAAAAACAAACAATTGGCGGTCTGTGACAGATGTCAGCGAAGGTTAAGCCTGCACCGACCATCTCGGCCCAGTGAGCTGGAGAATTTCTAGGCGTCGATCGGTGGCTAGCGATCGTCAGCATACCAAGCTCCTAAATAACGCTACATTTGAGCGACACCACTCCAGCCGCTCATATTCCAATGCTCATCACACGTCAGCTGCGCCGCTGAATGCCCTGTCAGCATGCTTCTAATCCGAGCCTAACCACGCCCTCCTTCCTCTCCGTCCACCGTCTCGTTTCTCCGTCCGTGGCCTCCCCGCGACCAGCCTGCCGTATCTCACACCGTCACGTATCGAATGCGAGCGCCTGCAAAAGGCGCCGCGCCCCGACGCCATGCAAACGGGCACAGTGGCGCGCGGCCGAGTGTGCACATTGCACACCCCGCCGGCCCGGGGCGACCGGTCGGCAAACGCGCTGACAATGCCGCGCCGGCGGCGCCTGGCGGCCCGCTGAATAGGCGCGGCGTGAGGGCACGCCTCCGCGTGCAGTGCCGAGCGGCTCCGATCAGGCCGGCGGGCGCGGTCGATGGCAGGCAAAGACGCGCGCCCGCCGCTTGTCGCGCCGCTGCCACACTTACAATGGTGTTTGCAGCCAGCTCTCCGGGCGGAATTTGCATGAAAGCCATCCGAAATCGATTCGAGATCAGCAGGAGGCGGCAGTAAAATGAATTTGACTTTGTAATACACGGAAGATTAATTTGTTTGGTTTCAGGTGGGGCTATAAATTTCGCGGCGCGGGCGGCCGCAGCGGCGGATCGTCTCCTAAATATCCACTTTCGTTTAGGGTGGGCTTGCCGACCTTTGGCGGGCAGCGCTTGCAGGGCATGTCACGAAGCCATCAGCAACGGCGTCCGGCGCGGGGCGCAGACGGCACCGGGCCAATTAGGGCCGGGATGGCCGACGCGGAGCGGCGGTAAATCGTGTGCCGCACCGGCCGGCACCCGGCGCGGCCCGCTCTGCCATGCTGGCGGCCGCCACGGCCGCCGCCGACGCCGCCGCCGCCGGCGCCGCCCGGCCCACACCTCGCCGACCAATGAGCGCGCGCGCCGCGCGAGGCTCCGCCCCCGGCCGGCCCGGCGGCAGCGGCGGCGGCGGCGGCGACGCCAGAATCGGCTCGCTTGTCCCGCCGAGTGCCGCGAACGGCCGCGCTGCCGCCGCCGACCCGTGTTCCGCTGCGTGAGGCGCCGCCGCCGTCGCCGCTGCTGCCGTCATGCCCAGACCGACGCGCGAGTCCTACGGCGACCAGAAGCCGCCCTACTCCTACATCTCGCTGACGGCGATGGCCATCGCCAGCAGCGCCGAGCGCATGCTGCCCCTCTCCAGCATCTACCAGTTCATCATGGACCACTTCCCGTACTACCGGCAAAACGCCACCAAGTGGCAGAACTCGCTGCGCCACAACCTCAGCTACAACGACTGCTTCGTCAAAGTCCCGCGCCGGCCCGACCAGCCGGGCAAGGGCGCCTTCTGGACGCTGCACCCGAAGGCGCAGACCATGTTCGAGAACGGCTCGATGCTGCGCCGCCGCAAGCGCTTCAAGCTGACCGAGGACGAGAAGGAGATGGTGCGTGCCGTGCTGGCGGCGCAGGCGGCGCCGTGCAGGCCGTCGCCGTACCCGCGGCCGTACCCGGCGGCGTGCTCGCCCTGGCCGGCGGCCGGCCGCGCGCGCCAATCCTTCAGCGTCGAGAGTCTGGCGCAGTCGGACGCGCGGCCCGAGCTGTGGCGGCCGCTGCCGTTCTGCCCACTGCCGCCGCCGCCGCCGCCGCCGCCGCCGCCGCCGCCGCCGTCGGCCGCCCTCTGGAGCCCGTACGGCCGCTGGGCGCCGCTGCCGCCGCCGGCGCCGACGCCGCTCCGGCTGCTCGGCCTGGGGCTGGCCGGGCCGACGCGACGCGGCCAGCTCTCGCCCGGCGCCGTCTCGTCCCACTCCGAGTGCGAGTCGGCCTCGGACGGCGAGAGGAGCTGCTGAGCCTCCCCCCCCCCCCCGCCCTGCCCTCATATGTTCCTATACCATTATCGGTGTTGACGCTGTATTTTATTCCTCTGTTGATGTTGTTGTTGTCGGAGTGCGTGACGTGGCGCGAGGTCGACGGCGGCCTCGTGCAGTGTGTATATGACGCGGTGGTGGCCAGGGGAGCCGTTTGGTGTCTGCGCGGAGGACCGCGCCCCCAATGCTTTCAGTTTTTGTCAGTGCGCCGCGCGCTGTCAACGTTCGGAAAGAATCGAGCAAAACGCGGCCGGCCGCAAATGATATTCGTGAAGCGAGACCCCTGTTGGTGGTGTTCTGTCATTGTCACGTGCTGTAAAGAGATGCATCAATACACTTCACATTGACAAACTGCCGGTTGTGTTTGCGTCGATGGCGACGCCTCCCGCTCGACGGCGTCGACGCGCCAGCTGTCGCGCCACGTGCAACGCGACGCGCCGGCAAAAAATTGAGACATTCTATTTGGTTGATGGGCTCAATCAGAGAGCGCGAGGGGCGGCGTATTACAGGGTAGCGGTCCAGATTATCCGTCGCCGACGGCGGCAGGACGGCGGCGGCCGCCCTGTAATCTCCGGCGGCGGCGCCGCTCGATTAACAGGCATTATGCAGCTGCTTGATGCGCTCGTGGTCCATCACCATCAGGACAGGTGCCGCGGCGGCGGGGTCACTCGGCGCCGGCCGGCCGCGCCGCGGCGCTCCGCCAGCACAGGTGGGGACCGGGCCGAGCCGGCGGCGGCTCTCTCGTCCCGGCTGACGCGGCGAACACGACCGGCGGCAGAGCTGATGGCCGCTTAAAACGCTTGTCGAATGACGTCTTTGTTCGCGCAGGTCGACATGTCGCGGTGCTCTACTTTTGTCGATGGACATGAAACCGATGCCAGCAAAAAAGAGCACGAGCTTGTCTAGTGGTGTAGAGATGCCGTCAGTAGGATAGAGTACGTGCGCCAAATTGGACAGAACGTATGTATGTGGCGCATTCAAACCAGGGGGACGTGAGTGATTGGTAAGAATGGGTGCTTCACAAACTACCTGCATATAAACTTCAAGTCAACTAAAGGATTGTCCACTTCGGTGAATGGCGGCTAGCTATCAGCCCAAACGATGCATGCGTATCATAGTGATTATTGTGTTGGTTGCCTTCGACTTCTTGGGCGCGATGATCTCCGCAGGGATTATGTGTTACTGAGTGCAAAAGACGCTGGGCCATGGGCTCGCCTGTGATAAGCAGGGCGGCCACCGCGAACGACCGCTGAATGACCTACCAAGTGTAGGTACCGATCAGATTAGAGCTTGAACATACAGACGTGCCCTTCATTTCACTGGCTTTACCTTTGCCGACGCACGCAGCTTAATGTTTTCAGATCCGTCTTGTGGGTCATTTCACCATACCATGAAAGGCCTCTGGATGGTTTTGGAAAACCTTGGCGAGCAGGACCAAAACATGCAGGTCCACGCGCATGCTTTATCCGCCAGATGGAGAAATAGACAGGCGTCACTGCACACGCCTGCTCATCTGCTCTACGCAGAATTGTTTCAGCTTCACGACCGTCTAGACGATGACGAGCCTGTCGTTTCATTTCATTTCTTTTCCAGACATCTGTAGATTGTGCGTAACGTAATTCATCGTCTGATCTTTGATCTGGTAACGTCGCCCCATTCTTCTGTAACCGTGTCAGCACTGTTTCGCAGTTTTTCACCCAGGCAACTCTGCCAGATTGACTGTACATGCCTGAACTTCAACGAAGACGAGTGAGTACTGCCATGTGTGTGCTGTGGTCACACTGCGGCATGGCACCCACCATATTGTACCTGGAAATCAGCATTCAAGTGAAATACCCTCCATCGTTCATTGCAAACGCGCGATATCTTACCCCACTTAGGCCTGGCTTGGCTCTCGGAGCCCGCGTATGGTTGTCGGCATGAGCTCCAAAGCCACGCCGGCCGAATGTTTCGGCGAAACGCCCCGTTCTGTGGTTGAGAACATATTCGCAGCTGCTCTATCTTTGCTTTCCAAAACCGACATAACATGGAGCCGCAAACACTGGCTAACCGAATGGGCACTGGAGTCACGCCCGGTACTGATTGCGGGAGACGTCGGCATGGCTTGACGGCTCTGGTACGGGAGCTGTGAGAGTGCCAGTGCATCACTAGCACATCGTTGACGGAGCTCCCTTATAGCTGATCAGAACTCATAAATTGCAGTCTTTATGACGTGGAGTACAGAACGGTAAGCCCCGATTCTTGCATTTTCATTTGTAATATGTTGTGCGACTGTAAATACGATGCGTACTCACGAGGCTTCGAAGAGCGCACAGGATCCTTCTGGGACCACTGGGCGTTTAATAGCTCATTGCCGTAAGGTTGTTAATCCAATGCGAATAGTAAGTTCAAAACTTATAATCATAATACGTCTTTAAAAATGCAGAAGTGAAAGATCGTCAGTATGCTTGAAGTCAGACTTACTCCCAATCATGTTGCTCTGCATATTCTACGCTTGCATTTCTTCAAAGTGACACCCATAGCTGAGATTTTCCTCACATTGAAGCGTGCAAGTGACACCCACACAGACCTTTTGATTTCTTGCATGTGGGCTGTGCGTCCGTGTTCAACTAAGATTCCAAGCGTGCCCGTCTCAATGGTCGTAAGAAAATATCCTCCCTGCGTGAGGATCGCCGTCGTGAGAGTAAAAGACGCTTTCTACCGGCCCTAAACTGCAAGCACATTATTTAGCTTCTGAGGGCTGCAATTTTCCAGCTCTGCCAGAAAAGCCCCGGCGCGGTTTCTTCCCCGCCGCCACTGCTTCCCGAGCGCACCGCCGTGTTTATGCTCCGAGTCCTTGCCGCGTGCGTTCGTCCTTGGCGGGGCGGCGCGCGAACGGCGTGCCAGGAGCAGCCGGCCGCCGCCGCCGCCGTGTCTCCTGTTTGTCTGCGGCGGCCGACTCCAGCGGGTCTAGTGCGCACTGTTTGGTTCCTATTTGTCTGCCGACCTTATCTGCCGCCGCCATCAGCGAGGGTGCCGCGGGAGTCGGCCGCCATACATCATCAATCTCCGGTTTTTCTCGCCTCCGGAAAGGTTCAGGAAAATTACCAGGCCGCCACTACTGAAATGCCGAAAGTGTAAAGCTGTCTGTAACTACACGCCGACACGTCAAAAGTAATAACTAATAGAAGAGTGATATTGGTAATTTTGTATTTGTAATGGGGTTCGGCGGTGTCCGACGCGAGGGTGGAATGCACCGGGTGGGTTACAGGTGGGAAGGCAAAACCCCACCGGACGAGGCGGTCACTTTAAGGAGTGGGACCGGCTAATGAAAGGCTTGAGGATACGACAAATTATTGGGGGGAAATTCCGTTCCAAGGAATGTGTGTAATCTTGCGTTGAGATTTTCACTCGTGCGTTACCCTCTGGTTTCTGTGACGAGACCCTGTAGTTCGGTGGATTGTTTTAACTCGCCCAATGGTCGCATTTAGGCTGCCCTGACGACGGCCTGCTATTGAACCAACAGTTCGTGGCCGCGGCAGGCATCATTCTAACCGCAACTGGAACGTGCATCCATCGAAACCATATTGGGACCATGCCTTCGAGCCATGCAAACCAACCAGCTGCCATCCATTTAATTCAATTGAAGCCTGCAAGCTGTCACGGCGTCACGTGTCGTGGGTCTTATTTGGAGCTGATGATAAGGAGCAGCGGGTCGATAAATGCAGGAGGGCGTTGGTTCACTTCCCGTCGACAGCTAACGTGGGAACAGCGTGAACGGCGTGACGCGAGCAATACTAGTCGATACCAATCGGCCGAATGGAAGTCTGAAGCATGCAAGCCGGTGCGAAATCGGGAGCCTCGATGGCTTTCACGATCACACCGTTTGCGACTGCTCTTTGACCTGCAGAGTACCCCGCGGCCAACTAATACCAGCGCCCCTCCTCAGCCAACAAACCCCGGCGCCCAAACCCCAACCCCAGCGCCCCCCCCCCCCTTCCCCCTCTCCGTGCTGAGAAACCTCCTCTCGTTTCCAATCCCACTCAAGCCTGTCGCGGGCGCCTCCAGACGTGGACATGCAGAATTAATGCCCGTCTTTATAACCAACACGTAAGACGCAGGCGCCGCATTGATCTCGACATTTTTGCCCGTGTTTTTGCGGTCGGGTCAGTCGGGCCCATTATTCACACAACACCTGCATAGGGCCGCCTTTTTGTTCTCGCCTTTTTACACTTTTAATTGTAGTTGGGCCAGTTAACATTCCTGGGCCCCGCCACGCAGTCTCGCCGCGCGGCCGGGGCCGCCTCCTCCCCGCCGCCCCCAGCGGCGCGCGGCGGCCGGCGGGCCCGGCCGCCAGCACAGGAAATGACGAGTGACGCCACAAAGACAATCGCTGCGCCGCACACATAAAGCCGCGCGCTCAATGGAAAGCATGTGCGCCGGAATGGCCGCCGGTCCGTCTGCTGTGCTTTCGCCGGTTTACGACGGCGTGGATGGGTCGCGTCTTTTGAGGCAATTAACCGGGCTATGGCTCGGGCCCGGAAGCGCGCCGGAAGGGTACCCGGACCGGCGGGTATGGCCGTCCCCGTCGAATGGCAGCCGGACTTCGATTGGGCGTCAGCACGCTCGCGCGTCTTTGTTGGAGCTGCTGGCACAGCCAGGAGGCTCGCGGGTGTGTGATGAGGGATACGGGTAAAGGGACAATTAGTGTTGATATAGGATAGAGTTGCGATAAAGCATAAGTTATATGCGGGATACGGTATAGTCTATGATGAGCCTATGTATCAGTCTATGAATGATAGAGGTTTAATATTGGATAAAAATTCGACAAGGGACAAATTTTATGTGTGGTACTAAGTTTTGTCGTAGGATACATTGCTAATTCAGCACTTGTATGTAGACGAACATGCCATGGCATAACTCGGAGTTGTTTGCTCACGACCAATATAACCGGCTTGAATCTGACGGGGAACGCTCCGAACATTGCCTTTCCGTTTGTTCAT